AAAAATTTAATTAATTTGATTGATAAAAATTTAAGTAATCTATAAATGATATATTTTTAGTTAACCATCTTTTTTTACTAAAGCTCGCAGATTTCAAAGAATTTCTTCTCGACTAGAAAGTCCGTCTCCGGTTATGACGTGACATTCGGCAAAACCATTTTTCACGGGAATATCCTCAAACGAATGAAACCCTCGACAGACATTGAACATGTTATTCCGAATGGTTCGGAATAAAATTCCGTAAGACGAGGAAAAGAAGAATTGTGATATCTCGTGCGTCCGATAGACGGTCCAAGCGGAATGATCGATAAGTCTTGATCGCGCGTTTAGCAAGCTGAAGGAGGGGCGAGGAAGAGGAACGCCGCGATTCAGCGTGACTTGTGAAATTCAGAGGCGAGATAGCTCGTCGTTATTTTGATGATGGGAATCAATTGTGACGGATTTCTTTTGCCAAGTTAGCATGTGTATATTTTGACGCTTATGGAAAATCTTGGACAGCCCGTTTATAAAGGATGGCGGGACAGACAGCCAGGAAGAGAGATCGATTAGTCCGCTTTGTCCTGACTCTCTTTTCTCCGCGGAGAAAGAGAAAAACGCGGTGCGCCGATAAACGTCATTTAGAGGCACCTGCGCGGTGCATCGATCTCTTTTAGCCGTGAAATGTGACGCAGAAAACGTTATTTTTTGCTGGTTCACGAGAACGTTAACTGTTGCTAAAGGAATTTTTTCCGATTTTCATAACCAGAATTCGATCGGTGTTCTAAAAAGGATCGGTGTGTAATCCACTTTTTAACCGCGTTTTTAAAGTTTATTTTTTAAAGAAAAAAAATTTTCGCTATAAATTAAACATCATAAAAGTAATTTTAACTGACATTTTTGCGCGATACTAGTTTGCATAAAATTTATATGTAAAAATTTATACAAATATGTAAAAATATTATTTTTGTGAAATTTTGATTTTAGAATTTTTGCAAAACAAATTGTCAAAGCATATTCATACTTGGTCATTATTTTTAATAAAAGCTCGACGAATATATACTAGATATATAAAGATGTATATTCGCATGTATTCACTTCTTTGTGATTTATACTATTGTAAAAAATTCGCTCAAAAATTACAAAATATTTGTTTGATAAGTTGATAAGCATTTTTTATATATAGAAATAGCCGGATAATAAAATAATATAAATATAAATTAAAAGAATATATAAACCAATTTATACCATTTATAAAAAACCACATTTTATAAAAATAAAATTTTAAGTGCTTATACAGCACGATTTTACTCATGGATTTTCTCAATTGTTTTAAATGCACTAAAGCACTCGAACATCATAGTATACATTTTCACATTTTGAATATTTATTGAATTTTATAGAAAAATCAATTGAGTGTTTGACGTTTGAGATGATTTTTCTCCGACGTATATGTATACAACTCGCCGTGTCTCGCGCTTTTGAAATTTTGACGTTATATTTCTGCGCGCGCGGTTATAAGTTCAGATCGAGGCAAAAGTCGTCGACAACAACAACACGTAGGGCGATAAAGGCCGAACGAGGAATTTAATGGAATACGTTTGCGCGTCGGAGCGCGGAAAGAGCGCGCGGAAAGAGCGCGCGGCAAAGCGCGGACAGTGTGTTCGGCCCCGGATATAATCTCGAGAATATTTTTCCGCCGAGAGTTCCAATTTGCCGGACTACTCTGGCATCCGTCCGGTGAAGGCAAGTTTTTAATTAAAAATATCACCTCGCCATATGTATACGCGCTTGCTGCATCCGTTGCACATACGTAGCGACAAAGTCGGTCCGCTTTGCGAAATATTCCAAAATTTGGCGTCCGAAACACGCGTCCGGAAAAAAAAGGAAGGAAATACACGTCGACGTCACGTAGCTGACATTTCGTTCGAAATCGCGCGCTTGTCGTCCCGATGTATGATGTAAGAGCGTCATGGCGTGTATAATTAGATCCGCAAATGCATCAAGGCCGCCTTTGTGCATGCCAAGTCGCCGCTCTGTATTTTATGTCGATAACGAATACAAATCCACGCTCTGAATTGTTCAGAAAGCCTCTATTCAGCGGCAGCGAAATGTAACGGATAACAACGTCATTTTCTCGCGCGATATTACGCGGCGATAATCTGCAATAATACGCAAGATGCGCTTCCATTAATCCCACCTTGCTTCAGTGATTCCAATCAGCGCCACATTTATCGTGCTTTACACGAGTTAATTTACTAATAACAATAAGCAATAAAATAAGAATGTTTCCACATTTTATAATGGTTATATAAATTGCAAAAGAAACTTTAATGACAATTAGAATAATTTCTGAATCTTTCAATTAATATTTTGAATCCCGTTTCTCTGATCATGTCATATTCTATGACAGACAATTCACTTTCACTATGTTCCATCATCATAAACGTGACACTGATATAATCGTGACAGCGCTTTTTCTAACAATAGAATCAACGAATCTTTTTAACTTGTTTGACGATTATTGATCGTTAGAAAGTATTAAGGTGACATTTATTGTTCGGTGTTATACGATCAACGCTGATGAAACTTATGTTTCTCGAGCACGTAGTTTCGGAGATCGAGCGAGAGAGAATGGGCAATTAACGAGGGCAGGGCGCGAGTTATTTATTGCGTCCTGAAATCAACACCGGGATAGTCTGCTATAGCGGCAGGCGCAGAAAAGTACGACCGGATGAGGCAGGTGGCGGCGGAACTTTTATTCCCGTCGCGGTCTTAAGAAATCTTTCCGAGATCTTTAGAATACAGTTGGGAGCACCCGTGCTGGTTCGCATCTGCGAGAAATGGATCGACTTCCTCTTTCCCCCCCCCCGTCGCCGGCTGGACCAGCATATCGCGCGACACTCCGGGGATTACACGAGCTATAAATCATTGTAAGATGTGCGCATGCTGTTTTAAATATTATTAATGGTCCATGTCCAACAGTGTAAGATTCACGTGCGAAGATAAATTAATATCTAATTCCACACATAATTGTTTCACAACCTCCGACTCGTTAAAAAATTATTTTGTACACAAAAAACACAAATATGTAAATTTTTCCATGTTCGCGATAAAGAGAATACTTACAATTTTTAAATTAATTAACAAGTTAAATTATAAAGCTTTGTAGATTTTCGACAGAACACGCATATTTACAGAATATATGATATTTTTCCATTCTTTTAATATTAAAATGCAGTCATAAAGTCCAGTCAATGTGTCCCTCTCGTAATATAACAAACATGTAAAACTTAAAATTAAAACTAAAAATTAATTTAAATTGTAAATATTTATATAAAATATTAAACATAAAAATGATAAAGAACAATGCCGTCTGGTTAAATATTTGCTACGAAAAAGTAAACCGCAAAATAATCAACGAATTTTAGCCGTGAATAAAAATTTTAGGATATTATGCATGTTAAAATTTTTTAAACAAAAAGGGGAACGATATCCGAGGCTCATTTCTGAATAATACTGCAAATTATTCACGCATACGGCTTCAGGCAAGCACTATCGGTAATTATGCGAAATATCGGGCTTCTCACCCGGATGAGCGCCTGGCCCGTCGAACTTTCCGAGTTTCCCTCATCCGGTGAAAACTTTCACGATGGTATGTAATGCTCGACCGAAATACCGGCGAGTGCATCTCGTTTCTTCATTGTTGAGCCGAGAATGGCGATAGGACAAGTTGCGCGATCTCCGCGACCTCCGCGCTAAAAGGAAGGCTGTTGACGTAATCGAGACGTAATCCGGCGGTTTTCGGGACAAAGTTTCCGCCACAAAGTTTGCATAATTTCGCCAGCGAAATATTCCCACTCGTCCGCATTAATTTCCATAATTCATTTACCAGCCGTTCAAAAAGAAGGAAGGAAATCTGAGGAACTTCGAAGATACCTTTCGTCTTAAATCGCGTGGATTGCGTTCTCCGGAAGAAATTTCTCCTTCTCGAGATAATCAGAAAAGACAAGGAAGTTGTTCGGTCATTTACAGAATTTACTTCAAGGTCGTAAATGTAATATGCTCTTCTTGTAAGAAAGCTCGCGAGAGAAAAAGACGGATTGAATAACAAGAGGAGATCATTCTTCCCCTGAAATTTTTCTTACTTGAAGATTCTTTCTTTTAAAGTTTGTCATTTTTTTCTTTCTTCCAAATTTTTCATATCTTTTCAAACTATGAAAAAAGTTTTTTGTTGAAACTTTTATTGGAATTATCAATCAGTAAGTTCACGGATTTATGAGATGCATGACGAAATACGCGATTATTATTTCAAATGTAATGTATCAGCATTGCAGCGTTCTGCTGAATATTTTATTTAAATTACCGTGCTGGGACACGCTCCGCGGCATGAAATAGCGACGCATTTATTTATACATAAAAATATCTACATGCGTCAAGAACGAACTCGGTCCATCTCAACGCGATTCATGTTGACCGTAAAACATTCCGTTTAATTATGACGGTAATGGCGAATGTGATTAAGTCGATAATGAAATGTCGTGCATAATTATTAACATTACCGCGTTTCACGTCGTTCTATGCGAAATTATTAGATTTTCGTGCTCGACCATTGACGCACATGATCAACGAAGATCGATTGGGATTTACATATTAACATTTACCTGCGAATTTAATCCTACCTCTGTATGATTAATAGTGTGTAACTTTACATATTCGTACATATTCTATAAATAATAGATAACATCAGCTACAAATAGACTCGCTTTGATGCAGAAAATATAAAAGCGGTCAAAAATAAATAAAGAAAACATTCCGTATAAAATAAGTAACCATATATACTAGAGCCATAGCAGAATTAATGCATCTTGTATTGTGGTTAAAAACATCTAAAGATTAAAGGAATATATATTCAAAGAATTTCATTTAAAAGTACATTTTTAGTATTCGTATATTTTTGCGTGTCCAGCTAATGATGAAAAGAAAAAGATAAAAAATCATGCATACTAAAACGAAGCACTCACCTAATGGCGTTGAATATCTCATGAAAGCCGGTGCCCTGGTGGCTGGCGACGTCGCAGGTGGGCAGAGGATGCAACAGGGGTAGCCGGTGGCAAAGCACGCTGTCGCTGTTTCGCTTGCTGCTGCCGTTGCTATCTCGATCCCGATCATTTTGTGGCAGCGGCCCGTTGCCGGTACCGGGCGTCGGGCCCAGGCCCAAACCCAGAGGAAGACGTGGCAGAGTGGCGGGTCGTGTAAGACTGCCATAGGCTGCCAACGCGCCTCTGGGTAAGGACGAGTAGCAGCGATTCAGCGGCAGGGTGCCGAGAGTGCTGGAGGCGCAGCCGCTGCTGCCAGAACCGGAACCTGAACCTGCGTCAAATTATAGGTTAGAACGTTATCGTTCGAATCAACAAAAATTTACAGTACTAACTGTGACGGGCAGGAAATTGGAATAATCGCGTACTTTCTATAAATTTATAAAACACAAACAGAAAAAGACATTGTGAATGTACATCGTCAAAATAAAATTATTTGATTTTATTTTCACGGAAAAAATGTACATATACGGAAATATATATATATATATATATAACCATGAAATATATTAAAGGCATAAAAGAATCACGCAGATATCACGTAGCAATAGCGAAGCTAAGCTTTTCTGCCAAATTAATCCTCTCAGCACGGCAACCTGATCTAACCTAAATTCCCTAAGTGGCTGATTTCACGTTCTTACGCTGCCATATCAGAAAGATTTATTCTATTTTTACATTTAATTTATAATACCTCGCACGTTAATTATGAGTTACGAGATGAGATTCCGGGTTTATCACAAGTGCTAGAGTCTCAGATTTTTAATAAAATTAATTCAACCTGCTATGACTTTTTGCGAAGATATTGACAGTTTTATCGATTCGAAACGACTGCGGATGACTAACATCTATGCGAAATGATACACAGATGAGTCACATGTCACATGGCCTTCGCTCGAGCTCTCACATGGCATTCTGTTTCTATCGCTAATCAGCTGATCAGCTGATCGTAGTACCGCTATTACGGTACTACAATTTCGTACCAGCTGCATAACAGATGCACCGTTTGTTTACAAACGCGCGCGCACTGAATTTTTAAAATGCTATAACTCAGTGAAAAATTGACGTAGCGACATGCGGCAAAAAGGGATTATCTGTCTCGCGTTCCGCAGATGTTTAGCGCATATGTTCTCATCATTAACACGCATATACTTGCGTTAAGTATAAAACAACGTATTAAAATATAGACAAGCCTTGTCTGTTAATTGAAAGATATTCTAGCTTATTATATTAATTAATTAATATATATAGACAATACCTAGACAATAATATATAATATTAAAAAAATAAAAATAATTAAAATAAATTAAATTATTAAAAAATTTAACTTTTTAATAAAAATTGTATGGTTTTTTAATTAGAAATCAATAACTTTCCACATTACCCCTGAGATACTATTGTAAATGCGTTTTTTAAAAAGTGGTTTCCCCAATAGACCTATTTTACTAAAAAATAACAAAGATAATTTAACATCTATATAAATATAGCTTGGCAAAAAATTTTATATAGGGCTTAGATGATATTTTATATAAGATAACAAAAGAGAAACAAATAAAAAAATTAAATAAATTAAAAAAAATAGAAATAGTTAATTTATAAAACTTTTCTTGGATTTTTTTGGTCATTTGCATGATTTTATTAAGGACATCTACAGAAATAAAAGAACTAGTTCGCATCAAAGAGAATAAGTGATGCATTACCGCGTTTCATAAAAGAACGTCTTTTCGTTTTTATTAATTTTATTTTACAGAAAGAGTATTTGCATAAATATGTACCGAAGGCGTTTATCATCAATATTCGAATTACTTTTATGGTAAATTAAATTTGGTAATTTAAATTTTAAAATATGAGAACAAAAAGAAATGCAATTAAATGGCAATTTAAATTTTAAAATATGAGGACAAAAAAAAATGTAATTAAATAGTAATTTAAATTTTAAAATATGAGAACAAAAAGAAATGTAATTGAATTAAAGTACTAAAATTAATTTACCACAAAAGTAATCAGGGTATCGAGAGATCTTTCAATCTCTCCAGGCGGTTTTTCGAAATTCGTAAATTTTTGAAAAAGTTTGGGGTGTGGGGGGATATGGGTCGCCCCACCATTTTTCGTTTGAAACCGAGTACCTACGTCGATGCGTCTCGTTGAGACAAGCAATTTTGGTCCTATAAACATATAGCGGCCAACGAATAATTACGGAGTTATAGCACTTTTTCGTCGCCGAGCGACTTTTTAGTCTATTAAAAAGGAATAATAAAATAAGCGAGTTATTTTCTAGATTATCTAGAAAATCATATAAAAAGCCATAAAAAGAATATTCGATATATTCGTTGGATGAAATTGGAAATATATAGCGTTAAAATATGCCTCGTAGAATGATCGTACCTCTCTTGCAATTGAATTCAGTAAAAAAAAAAAAAAGATTAAATAAATCTGGTAACGGTAAATCAAATTGTACTGCTTTGAAACATGCGAAAAGTGATAAAAAATCATCGATATTCCTCACACGTATTCGGAAATAAATATTAAAATGTCGCGCGCAATTTTGTCTTGTTGATTTGACGGAAAACTTAAATAAGTACGGACAAAAGCGTTTACGACGACGAGCGACGAATACGAGGAACAACGAAAAACTGATAAAGCGAAAGACATAGTTTATGGAGGGTGATTTGCTCCTCTTGTACGAGCGAACGTGATGACGATGACATAACTTTTTACGGGGTGGCTGCCCCTCAATTTCCACTTGTCTTATCGATAGTAACCTTCACGGCTATATACGGAATACAAGCAGCGATTGCCACCGCGTGTAAATTTGTTTAGAAGTTTGGTTTATGGCTGGGAAGATCACTACGACCGTAGATGAAATTGGATGATTTCGCGGGCGCACAATATCAAGATGGACTTTTTTGACTTTTTTTACATCGAATTTTATTTTATTTTTGCACTTAGTTTTTTTCTTAATAAAATGTATTAATTCTGATTTGTTTGTATGTCCAAAATCTTTGTCAAAAGATTTTCTTTTATAATTTCACAAATGTATTTATAATATTGTAAAAAAAAAACACAATGCACCGTATTATAATCATTGAAATAAAGAAAGAAATATAGTCCGTATCAATTATGTTTGTGAATCAGAAGTGAACAATAATATTGCAAAAGATTTAACGGTTAAAGGAATAAACGAATCTCACAGCCATTAATGTAACTTGAATGTCAAAATTCCCATAAATATGCATAAATTTCTTCCTTTTCCATTTTCAATTAAAATCACATTGATTTATCACATTTCAGAGCATCGATTTGTTGAACCAGTAGAATTACACTGCAACAGCGAGAGTTTTATCGATGTTAAAGTCGTAATTGTGCGGTAATACATGTTCTGTAATCAGGTCCGCTATGTAACGCGATCAATCAACGAAAGGCCACGTAGGTATGAGTTATCCGAACAGAGTACCGCCACGTACGATAATCGTGCCACCGCACCGAGCGCGTTGCAACGAGAGCGTTTCGTGATTACTAATTAAATTACGGAATGTTTATCGCTATTTCGCGAGCGCTCTGCCATCGCACCCCATCGTCTAGAATTGCAGTCAAATGCAGTTAACAATGGCGTAGATCCACGGGGACATCCACATGATATATCTAATATCGCATCATTAGCCGTATTATATTTTTACCAAAAAATATTAAAAATATATTTTATTGAAATTACAAAATACGCGAATTGGGAAGTGTAATCTATGTATTGTAAGAGAGAATCACTAATTAGTAAAATCGGAATAATGTAATGTAATGAAGAATTAAAATAATTCTTTTTCTGTCAATACACGTACGTAATTAAAATTCCTAAAATTTCACAAGATTTTCCTTCTTTTCGTTCTCCATAGCTACGGCAATGTCGGTAACATTAACGTCGCCTCGAATTGTTCGCCGGAGAAATGCGCTGTCCAGACGGGCTCTAATTCGAATCCCGTATTCGAGCACGAAATTAACAAACTGCTTTTTGGACGTGATCTCATGTCTCTCGGGCATGTACATGTACGCGGCGGTTGGAGAAAATTAGACGTATGGGAAAACTGGAGAAAAGCGGCAAGATCCGCGATGAATTTCAATTCGAAACGCGACTCAACGTCCCTTAATTCCGACACCCGAAAATTATCCGACACGGCGATATCCGTTCGAAGTCGGATTGACATGTTGATCAAACTTCTCGCTCGGCTTTAGAATCTTTATACTCTCATATGAAAACATCTCTCACAGTTTAGACTCTTTATTTCGGAGCGCTTGTGAATTTTACACTCCTTGCACTCTTGAGTTTTTAGAAACTTTATATTCTCAGATCTTTGAGAAACTTAAACTGTAGAGATGCTTAAAAATTAATTTCTTTAAAAATGTCATGTTTCCACAAAAAATGTAACTATGCAACAGTTGATCAGAACAAAGGTTTTAATAATTTTCCTTTCCTCTTTAACCAACCTGCAACAGTAAAGTACCGTGTAAACAAAGAAGATAACAGTAATCCTAGCCGTCTCGCGGCAACCCTTTCCCTCAGATTCGACCTGACAACAACAAACGATAACTGAGAGATGGATCAGTCGATTGGATTTCAGCGTACCGTATCGTTTCCGCCTTGTTTAAAGCAGACCAGATGCTTCTGTTCGTCTCCGATTACTCTCGTATACATACACAAACACGTTGAAAAGGCGTGTTCTTGGTCTAACCCGTCGGATTAATTACGCGCCGTCTACCCGATGATGAGAAAATCGTGTCTGCCAGCCGGCAGTGAGGATTTCCGTCTTTGCTCGCGACTGATGGACAGTATCTCGAGTTTGTCTCTTTCTCTCGCGCGTCGTTTCATCCTCGTACGTAGTTTCCAGGGAATTTCCAAGTTGAGCAGTTAATAAGTGTTAACTTTTGTTCGTGAACTTGGCGCGTACAGACTTTGTCGAGCGCGCGCGCGCGCGAACGTTCAAACACGCGTGATGCAATGTGTCGTCGTTCTCTCCCTCTCATCGTCATTCTGAATCAAATTGATGGACACCGCCGGGGCACTGTCAGAGTTTCCGAGTAATAGGAAGTTACGTCGTAACTGGAACGTAAAATCGGGTTACGTTGCGCGATCATTCGGATGATAATTAACCCGACGCGAGAGATAGTGTGGACTCGCGATTTCATAATCACGATACACGTGACACATGAAGTGATTACGATATATTGTAATATTAATTATATTGATGCATTATATATACAATGTAAAATATGTCATGTCAAAGTGCT